ACCGGAAAAGCATGACATGGGCCCTTTAAGAATCGTATTTACATGCAGCAGCACATATCTGCTTTGTCAGTTTTTTCAAAATATCTAATCTAGTAAACTACATTTGCGTGATGCCTTTTTTGTATTAGTCAAGAACAACTGGGCATCATCAAGTAATGTTTTATTCATTTGTTGGTCTTGCTTCCTTCCAAGTAGTTGAAACAGTATGTTATTTGTGTGATGGCTCTATTATAAATAAATAACCAGAGAACATAAAAGTTAATCCTTGAAACTCTAATAATCATTTGATTTAGAGATTTGATGGCCTTTATTTGTGTCGAGATACAAAGAGGGAATGCTGTTCAGGATTAAAAAACTATTGCCCTGTAATGAAAAAGAAAAAGTAAGATCTTCAAATACTTGAACTGCATCACATTAAATAAAGGACATTATATCACTTGAGTGCAGTCAGTTTATCTGTGTATCAAACTTGAGGGATGTTTTCAGGATGTTTGAGGAGTGTAACTCTTCATTACTTTTCCTTTGTCCAAAACCTAGCATTCATGATCTTTGTTTTTGGCAGTTTTGTTGCATTCTTCTTTGGTCTCATATAGCTGAAAGTACAGAGATTGTGTTTAGCCTGGCGCCTCACTTCGTTCATATGACATCAGGAGGTAAATCTAGCTTTCTTTGTGAGAAATGGGACAGAGGGCTGTCCAGTTTCCTTTTGTCATTTTCATTAGTTACTACGAATTGAGAAGTTTAAAAGAGCATATGAGAAATATGAGTCTATCAGGAGAAATGTTGGCCCGGTCTGTGCAAAGCTTACCTCTGAGATTAGGAAATGGGACTCCTTGAATATCTGTGGCTATGAAGCCTATATTTTTTTAGAAGAAAAGACCCAAAACATAAGGATTTGGTTAATATGTGATCTTTGTTTTTTATGTACAGGGTATTACTTTAGCCATGTGAAATAGAGATTAGGATCATGTATCTGTCACACATTGATATTTTAGAACTCTTATAAGTGCTACATTCCACTCTCTTGTAATTATGTTGTCCTCCTACTGTTATTTAGTTTGGAGGTTGCTGTCAGAGGACGCAGATCATAACAACCTGTACATTGCAGACTGTACCTATCCTGGCATTAATTTGTCTTGGGTGTCTTTCGTTTATGACCTTAAAAAACAGTGCAACAATTCCTAACTTTTCAGGCCAAACTGTGTGTTCATTGGAAGGGAACACATTATGTCTGATCACTTGTCAAATCTATTGTATGTTATGTTGCTAACCATATTTTTAAGGATTTTTAAAGGGCCCATGTCATGGCCATTTCCACTGATCATAATTACATTGTTGAGGTATACCAAAATAGATTTATACTGTGCAATTTTCCAAACTCACATTGGTTTCGCATACAGCATCTCTGTCAAGCATGTGTATTCAGCAGTATTCACTTTCTCCACTAAACGACTCGTTGGAGCTCTTGCCCCCCCCTCCCTGTGAGCCTAGTGTGCTCCGATTGGTCAGCTCGGCCACTCGTTCTGATTAGTCAACCACCAGAGAGGCTGCGCCCATGTCAGTGCTTTTCCCGGCTGCTCTCAGCGTAACATCAGTCTTATCATGGCGTCGGTACAGCGGTATATTTTATATACATATATATTTTTAACTGTTGTTATAGAAGAGTGTGACGGCCCCAGGGCCTTTGTCTTACGATGGGGTGGAGCTGAAGAGGCTAATCAGCACGATCACGGACACCTCCGGACACAGTCTCTCTCCAAAGCGGCTGCAGGAAGACTAACTCTGCGATCCTCTCAACCACCTCTCTCTGCATTTACCACAATAAATGTGCCGTGGTTTTGTAAACTCGTGTATGTCTCCTTGTCTTTCCGTTGTGGCCTACGAGCTACTCTCATAACAAAGAGTAAGTTATTTTTACCCGTTATAAACTACTACTGTTTGATGAGAAATCAAATCATGGTTTGCTATATATGAATTCAGGGAAGAAAGGATAGGCCTACTAAGTATTTCCATTAAACTTTATTTTTAGAAATGTACAAAATGAACATAAATATACATATATACACACGGTATATCATTCATTCCTCCTCCTCGCATCTTGCCCGCGCACAGTCGGTGCGGTGCCTTTTAGCACGAGCCCTCAGTAGTAGTCGAAGTCCCTTCCCCGTCATGGATTGTCCGCCAGGATCTGGCTGGACGAAATCAAATGCAAATCACAAAATATTAGAGAAACTTAGTTGTTTTAGATTCGTTAGTAGTAGTTGTGTAATGAACAGCTTGCCTGCTAATATGCTAACCTAGCTTTGTTTACCTTGGTAGCTAACACGATATGAACGTTAGCTTGGAGGAAAGGCAACTATAATGCAGTGTAATAAAACTACTATGAACAAAAGCTAGTGGTTCATATTAGGCTAGCAATAACGTGTTTATAATTGCAATCGTATACGGGTATTCTGCTACCATACAATGTAACTTGCATGAATACATTGTTTTGCGCTAGCATACAGCTAGCCTCGTTAGCTACATGCAGTATATGTACGGTCACAATGTACGGTAAATCACAGTACAGTATACTGTATGAGTATTCCGTGTGTGTGAATGCAGACATTCTCCTGCTATGAGATACATGTATGCAAGGCCATCTGCTGATATTAGAGTTGATATATGGAAACTCTAGCAACTTAGTTAGCACAGTTAGCACTGTGTCAATGGCTTAGCAGTCCAACACAGTTTACACATTTAAACAGTCTTGTTTGATAAATACACAAATAACAATGCAAACTTACAGGTTGTATACCCAGATCTTCCCCTGCTCCAAACGGTCCAAACAAGCTGTGCATATCCGGCCTCAAACTGGGCAATGTTTTGGAAGCTTTCGTCTGTGAAATGCCGGTTCTTCGAACCTCTGGAGGAGGAACACGCCGCTGCTGGTGTGGCCATAGCTCTTCGGGATTGGTCCATTTCGTTCCGGGTACCGCATGACATCAGGCGGTACCCGGAACTAAATGGAAGACTCAAATGGGCAGTGACGTATCTCCAACGAGGCGTTTTGGGGAGGTATTTTCTGTGTTAGAGTTTTACTCGCTACAGGGTGTACTTTGAGGGTTTTGACTCTGCACACCGTTTACATGCATAAAAACCTTCATAACACACAAGGGGACGGGTAATAACCGGAAAAGCATGACATGGGAGCTTTAACTATTCTCAATAAACAAAGAAGTTCATAATGGACACACTAGTAAAAACATATCACTAGAAGCAAAGTATTTCTGTAGCATTTTTGTTTAACAGTTAACACTGGATTGTCCTTTCTGTGGTTAAACTGAGAGGTTGCACCTTTATGTATTGCTGAATATCTGGCCTATTCCTCTTGTATTTTGCATGTTTTTCTGTTCATTAAAGCTAATCCAAGTTTGTTGTCCCTCCATTGGAATCCAGAGAATTATTATTTATTTAATGAAACGAGGATCTCCTTAAGCATTTATTTTAAAGATATTCAGTAAAGCTCTGTACCCTGACAGTAATCTGACAACAATGGCCAACCTAAAATGCCTTCCTTGCCAAAGACATAGTTGTCTTTCCACTTGTTGCTCCCTTTTTTGAGATCTGTGTCTCCCTATCAGTACAGGGGAGACAGACTGTCTGCTGAGAGCAGGTGATCATTATCTGCCACGCTCAGCGGACAGGCCTGCTGTTCATGCCTCACTGTATGTGGGTGGTATGCTGCACTGATACCTGCAAGACTCAATACTTCTCTGTACATGCTAAGTGTCGGAAATAATTAAAGGCATAAAGCAGTGACAAAAAGCACTATTATACAGTATATGGGTGGATAGTAAATACTGTAAGAAGACAAAAAGGATTCAAATCGGATCGACTTTCCAATTTCACATATATTCACACTGAACTAAGAGCACCGTGCAGCTATAATGTGTGGGAGTTACAAGCGACACTAATTGCTCCCAATCCAAGTCTCCACAGAGTGAGATACTGCCACCCCATAATAATTTAGTATTGTTTTTAACTATGAGTACAAGGTACTTGAACTTTAATACAATTCAGAGGCAGTTATTTAACTTTTTGCTGCACTTTATTTATTAAATCATTTGAGTTGCTCTGCGTTTTGAGATTAATAACACAAAATAAAACACATTTAAAGTATGATGTATTATTGTAGGCTAAGATAAGCATACTTAATTGAAATACACATGATGACCAAGAAGTATATGAAGTAGGCTCAATAAAATGTATTTCACCCTTATCAGATATAACATTAAAGGGATATTGATATGATCCAGTAACATACATTAATCAAAGATGCATAATTCTGTAATAAGTATTTTTAATTTTGGTGCTTTTTAAATCAAGAAACATTTTTAAAGTAGGACTTTTACTTGTCGAGTATGTTTATGTGGTGTTGCTAATTTCATACATATTTATTTTATGAAAGAGGTGAATCTCCTTGATGAAATAAAAACTAACTAAAAAATAAATATAAATACTCATAGATAATAATTGGAAAACTTAATAAAAATGATTGCAAGAACAGACTGACTACAGGCTTTGGATAGGCTATACAGTATAACCTATTATATCCAAATAATCATTATTTAAAATAATCATTATTTGTAATGTCTTAGTTTAGCTGGGACTGGGAGCCAATTTGTGCAGAGAAAATGATCTTATGCATGAACTGAACATAACATGTTTAATAAATGTGTTAATCAGCAACATGCTTTCATCCAAAGACAAGAGTTCATATCTAACACAATGCATTTAAAGACACAGGGCACCTGCTCTTTGATCGCCTCACTCCAAAGTGGGAATATGTGACTATTTTGAACACATCCCTGTGGCCCCTGTTTCAACCTAAACAGACTTCACAGTAGACTCAGAAAGTAGCAAAAACAGTTTGAGAAACCCAGCGAGATGAAAGAAGGCGATAACTGTGGTGCTTTGTACCTGTGGGAGGAGTATATGTGCACCTGCAGACACAATCATAGCGCTGCCTTTCTTAGCTGATCACAGATTTTTGCCAGCAGCAGGACGCACAAGCGGATACCTGAGCCATGGATGCAGAGGAGGAATCCCCCGCCGACCAGGGAGTGCAGCTCCTGGACATCAGCTCCAACTCGCCCCTGCCTGAGCCCAAATGTGAGGAGGAGACCGGCCAGCAGGAGAAACCTCCGTATTCATACGTTGCTCTCATTGCCATGGCCATCAAGGACAGCCACGACAAGAGACAGACGCTCAGCGGGATATACGACTACATCATCTCCAAGTTCCCCTACTATGAGAACAACAAAAAAGGGTGGCAAAATAGCATAAGACATAACTTATCTCTGAACGAGTGTTTCGTCAAGATACCCAGGGAGAACGGAGGGGACAGGAAAGGGAACTATTGGATGCTTGACCCCGCATTTGAGGACATGTTTGACCAGGGGAACTACCGGCGGCGGCGGAGGGTGAGGAGACCCTACAGACCTCCGAGTGTGCCTTACCTGACCGGGAGCTCCGTGGACTTTCCCGAGCCGTTCTACCTGCCTTATGTGAGCAGCTCCTGGAGCCTGCCCCAGCCGGCCGGATACCAGACGCCCCAGGTCATCACTCACCCCCGCAGCGTACCCCCCAGCGGCCCCGTGAGTTCATACTGCTCTCCCTCACACTCCCATCACTCTCCCTACGGCTCATACCACCGCCACACACCGGTGCTGGTGCCCCACAACTGCTTTCCCTACGGAGGAGTGACCCAGCCGCTGAGCCCCGGCGGAGGCACCATGTCGGTGGCGTACCAGCAGCTCAACACCTATTCACGGCAAACGGAGGTTCCGCTTGCTTATTCATTTGACCAGTAGGGTTCGCAGTTATTGACAGCCAGCATTGAGGTTTATCTGTTTCACCATTTCAGTTGGACTGCCATTCGTTTATAAGGTGAAGTTATCCGGTGTATTCATTGTTAAAAAGCTGTTGGTTAAGTTTTCTTCGGTAGGCCACAGTTTCAAATGCCAAGAAAGTATTGTCTAATCGCATTGCTTCTAAAATGGCACAGATCAAGTGTAAATTGCAGGAAGAAGCTTAGTTTATGCCTCTTAAGTTAGAGATCTATGAAGCAACCAAATCAAATTGTGTTTTTATATTTTTACACTTGTAATATGCAAACATTTTGTATAGGCCTTTACATTTTATATTTTGTGTTATTTATTTTCTCTTGGGTCATCCAATGCTCCAAGCTGCTATGCAAAATTGGTGACACCAGAGCACTGATCAGTTTTCTTATTCAATTGTGAATGTTTACTTGATGTAAAAATACATCATGTTTGTTCAAATAAAATGTTATTTTTGCATTAAATACCCTTATTGACTGACTTACTCCTTTTTATTATTATGCACATTTAACTTTAACAACTTAACTTTTAAGTTGTTAACAGTTTTTAGATTAAGGCCTTTTGTGTAAGCTTCAGATATGACTTAAACTGATGCATCTCGCAACATAAGCTTTGATTAAATGATACAACTAATTGTATACTAAAAATGTCTTGCTATAACCAGTGATAAGTAGCAAATATACTTGAAATAGGCTATACTCTTATAAAAGCCATGTATTCAAAAAATCGTAACAAATAAAAGTGAAAATAGTAAGCATCAAACTTACTTAGGTCACCTTAAACTAAAGCACTTTAAGTAAAATTACTTATCACTGAGTAATTGGGTTATTACTCCTTAAGTTACATAACTACTTTTGTCTAAAATTAACCTATACACATACATTAATTTGTAGATTATAGTTAATATTATAGTCCTAATATGTAATGTTTAATATAATAAAATAATACAATATATAATATAATATTTGCAACGACAATAGTTACTAACTTTCTACAGCACATGCAATGGAGTAGAAGTTCAATATTTGATTCTTAATTGTGGAGGAGTAAAGTATGAAAGTTGCAGTAAATAGCAACTAGCCTATTAAGTTAAGTAGCCAGTCGCCTACCTCGACATTTTACAGTAGACTGTCTGAATGAATGTAGGCATAATACGTGATACGTGTAAGGATGCAACAAAATAAGTAAGTCATATTAAGGAGGTTATTATGATTTGAAAGACCGAAATCAATGTGGAAACAGGTTACAGCACAGTACAAGGCTTCGAGGGAAAAACATAGAAACGGTCCCATCACTAATTCCAACACTATCATACTCACCCTCAACTGATATACGCGGTTTTTGTAACCAAACATAAGTGTGATTGTTTTGGTTTTAACAAATACAGACTCTTATAACAACCCAAATCGTATACACCCAATAAGACGTGTGTAATAGTTCAGTAATGAGTGGCTGTAAAAGTCGACATGAAGGAATTGATAACACTATTGGAACTCGTCCGGGCAGTGACGCAGATTCCGTTTCCGGCACATGGGCGTTGACAAAAGGGGATCGCTTGCCGCGTGCGCTCTCGCGCCGTGTTTTGCGGTACCGAACACATAAGTTACATTTCTCGTATTTTGTTAAACGACTTACTTCTGCATATTTGGTGGAAATGGAGGCTTTTACCCAGCTTCTGCTGGAATATCCGGAATTCATGTACAGCGGAGTAGGAGCTACGGCGTCTGTCGCCGTTGGCGCGCTGATATACAAACTAGCCACCAGGTAACTTGAAGGCTCTTAACTTGTGTGTTTTTACCTTGATTCCCGCTGATGTTCGAAGACGTAAGCACACCATGTTGTATAGTTTTTTTAAATGTGCCTTCGAGAAACAATAACATATATAAATAAGTTTCCAATATCCCAAGAGGAGTCTGTTTATCTTCGTTAGCATGAACACTAACTTTGCTAGCAGTTGTGCTAATTCAAGATAACTTGAAGCCAGGCAGTTATGTGCCGCTCTAACGTTTGGATACACGGTGACTTTTACTGATGTTCTTTGGACACACACATTTTTCTAGTTTTTGGGTGTATTCTGTGCATGCGTTTGTGACATATTGATTCAATGTGGACACAATTACTTCACATTTATAACATCATGGCTTTACACACGTTTGCATGTCAATCACTTCCAATTAGATTAACATGAACTTTGATGTGTACTCCACTTACTCAGTTTATAAGACAATGAGTATCTTTTCAATATCATAGTGATACTGGGGAATGAAAGCACCATGTAGTGTGCCACTGTGGGAAAACTCTTAATCAGAAAAACATCAACTGGTTTTATTAACAGTGTCATGGTGCATCGTTTAATAACCATACCTCTTATTTACAGAAAGAAGCCGACCCATGCAGATGTGAACTGCTGGTTCTGTAACCAGAACTATGTGGTACCCTTTGGGAACAGAAACTGCTGGGACTGTCCAAACTGCGACCAATACAATGGCTTTCAGGAGGTACGTTTTAAAAAAACATAACTAATAATTCATTACAGAAGACTTTTTGGCCATTGCTGTAAAATGTGTGTTGCCCTCTTGTTCTCAGAATGGGGATTACAACAAACCCATACCAGCTCAGTTCATGGAGAATCTGAACCATGGAGTATCTGGTAGCCTTCCCTCAACACCGAAGACTCAGCAGTCAGTCAGCAGTCAGATGCTCCTGTGCAGGAAGTGCAATAAGAACCAGACATTTGTCATCAAACAGTTGGCCTCATTTATCCCAAGGAATGATGCAAGTACTTTTTTCTCCCCTATTCACTGCAACACTGTCTTTATGGTTCCCACGACTGACATCTGTAAACACTACATTTATTATTTTGTATTTGTAGGATAACTACGATGAGGAAATTGAAGCCTATAAGCACCACCTGGAGCAGACATATAAGTTATGCAAGCCATGTCAGACAGCAGTGGAGTACTACATCAAATTTCAAAACCGTCACCTTCGAACCGTGCTCCTCAACCATCCTCTTCGACGCAGCGGAGAAACCGACAAGGGCTTTGTAAAGGTCAGTGCAATCAAACGATGCATTAACATGGATCAAAGTAAGGCTTGATGGGTAACCTTAAGCTGTGCATTTCAACAAAATGTCATTATACCAGATATGTAACAACAGTTGGTCACACAAGTGCTACATACCAATGAACAACCTGTATATAAATTGTCCAATTATTAAATCAATTACTTTTTAACTGTCATTCTCTAGAACATCTGATGGTCAAATCTTTATATATTCACTGAGGTGATAGTAATAAAGAAAATGTGTCCTCACATTGTTTAATTTTGTATTTTCCACAAAAACTAAACACTCTTTAAGCTTAACATTTCTTAAGTTTTCACTTAATCTTGGTAAGCAGAAACTTCAAAAATGTTTGCTGTATACGTGAATTTATCTCACTTTTTTACTTATTGTAACCCCAATAAGTACGCTTAACTATCTCATAATAAATAAATCTACTTACGATCAGTTTATATTGCATGAGCTTGGTTTGTAATTTAAAAACGCGCATTTGCACCAACCTGAACTGATAAACCTGGGCTAACACAGCCAGTTGTCAACCAGCTCTGTAACACCAGTTATAAAGAACCACCTGTGTCAAAACAATTGGCATATTGAGTGTTTTTAATTGGAATCAACCGAAGATTTAGGGCCTTTCTTATTTCTCTAATTTCCCCTCTTCGAATCCTCGGTCCTCCGGTAGTGACTCGGAAATGGATTTCAGCGCGCCATGTTGAAGGACATCTCATTTCTCTAAATACACTTCGAGGACCGAGCATCGAGGAGGCTCTCTGGAGGAGCTATGATCGAGGATACACTGATGCATCCTCCGCGGATGTATTTCCGGCAATAGTGATGTCTAAAAGAGTCGTGGCGCACGGCCGGACTTATCTCAACCAATGACAGCTCTGCATGCATCCCCTGGATATTATTTTATTAACTGCTTGAATCGCGACGCGATGTTTACAGTGAGAACAGCTGTGAGGTCCGTGCAGAAAGCAGAACAGTGTGTATAATATATATCACTCAGTATAACAGGCCTACATTACTCTCTTTATTCGTTATTTGTATGCTTTAGTTTAGTAGATATCTACAAACAGTCGATATTTTTCTAAAACCATTTAGTGCTTCACATAATAAAATACACAACGGCTGTATCCTGATATATTATATGCTTTAGGAGCTGTGTGTATTGTATATATTTATATATATAAATAATATGTGTGTGTGTATATGTCCGCATCTGTAGCCTGTTGTCTCATTATACCGCACTGTGAATGAATTAAAAGTAAATATACAAGTCATCATGAACACAGTTCTGTCCATCAGACAGACGGCTGTGCCTCCTGTCATCATTAATGGACTTCTCTTTAAAATGACTGCTCAGAGGAGAGGATTTCTCATTTCTCTAACCGCCTGCTGCTTCCCGTCCTCTCTCCTCGGTTCCCCTCCTCGATTCCTCCGGTCGCATCTCCTATGGGCGGGACTAAGACACGAGGATAGGAGGAGGGGAGTCGAGGAGGGGAATTAGAGAAATGAGAAAGGCCCTTAGTCTTGTGTGAAAGTGAAAACTTGTATTGGCTAAACCCTCCACCAGGAATTGCTGCCTGCTCTTATTATAATATGTCAACATTCGTCTTTGTTAGTCATACGTTGTGAAATGTCATGATTCTAACTGCAAAAATCTCCTCTCTCCCGCAGAGCTCCCATGCTGTGTCCTCTCCCATGAAGGTCATACTGTTACGGGCCCTTACCTTCTTCATATGTGCTTTCCTAGTCGCTACATCTTTGTGTGCCTTGCCATACCAGCATACATCACTTGGAGACCCACAGATATTAAGTGGTGGGGCTATTCCTCCGAAGCTTATGCCCAGCAATGAATCTGCCCCCAACAATGACAGCAGTGGAGGCGTGCCCTTGTGGCAGGATCTGCTGGAGCTGATCCCAGATGAGGCCATAGATAAGGCCAAGCTGGTGTGGCAGCATGGAAAGAACAACCAGCTGGCTATAGTCTGTGTTGGCCTGTTGACGTGTCTCACTGCTATCTTCTTAGCAGGACCTGTGAGGTAAGCAGTCCTCGCTTCTTTGTTTTCCTTTTAAGAAAAGTAATCTCAGACATGTTTATTTTAGGCAAAAGAATAACAGACGGCTCATATGTTGCTGCATTTTCAGGTTGAGGAGAATTGATGCTGTGGCATCTGTGCTCTGGTTCCTCATCCTATGCCTCCACCTGGCAGAGATCTACCTTACTGATGCCTCCGGCTGGACGGAAACAGCCAAGCTCGGCACCGTCTGCCTCTGTTGCCTAGTCAGCTTTGCTGCTGCTGTGGCAACGCGCAAGCCACTGGGTCCAAGGAGAGCCAGATATCGAAGGTCAGAATCTGAGCAGTAATTTTTTTATTGTGTTTAAAACATAGATTTTTGTAAAGAGCCCTCTTTCCAATAATTGTTGGTGTTTTTTAGAACCAGGATGAAGCCAAAATCTATTATCTCTTAATGTTCAGTAAAGGAACAACTTTTTTTATTGCAATGTGCGAATGACTGTGAGGTTATGACGTGAATGGCAAACTAAAAGCATAGGGTGTGTGTGGCCCATTATGGGAACTAGAATCAGAGATTCTTGCTCAATCGCATCAAAACCTCACCCTCAAGCACAGGCTGAAATTAATTTAGTTGTAAAGGAATTTGTTACACTAAAACAAGATGGTATGATATGAACGGCTCACAATTCTCAATCTCTGGTTTAACTAATGTTGACTTTCTCATTGTTAAAATGTTTCAATGAGAGAAACTGACTAGTCTTGTATGAAAAATGTAATCAAAATGAAGAATTAAGGGTTTTGAAGAAAAAAACACTTAAAGAGTATTATACGTTTTCATCTCGTGCTGATTTTGCAGAAAGTGTTTTTGGGAAAATTGTACCAAAATCTCTCATTAATTGTGTGTATTAACTACTTTCGTAATTCCTTATTAACTATAACATATGTGCATTTGTGACTATATCTTATTAAGCCAATCATAACGATTTAGCCATGTTAACGTTAAGTTCTGAACAACTAAACTTAGCAATGTATTTTACACTGTTAGAATGTTTGAAAGCATTTTGAATGTACTCACTTATTTATTAACTCTCTGGTGAAGCGGTGGAATTGAAAATCATTACTTTATATATAAATACGAAACAGCTCATTGCATGAAGTACTAGTTTGCGATACACTGCAGGCCATGTTCAATAGCTATTTTGAATAATCTCTTCCCTTCTGTGTTTCGCCACGTCATCTACAATTTCTGAACAAAGAATGGCCCTGGACATTTCAGAAAGTGTTCATCGTATGTCCTTTGAAGCCACTTTTATTTATAACTGTTGTTTGTTGGGAATCTCTTCCAACATGAGTGCTGCAACAACAATTTGTTTTAAGGCTGAGCAGGATTTATTCCTATAGAGGCTACCATTGCATTTTTATCCAGTTGGTAGACATTTTACAAATCTTGATTAGTAAATGTAACCGTTTTTATTAACGATGGGAATTCACCATTATGATAGCGTCAGGTTCATTTGCATATTGCAATTTGAAAATCTAGCCATTTTCCTGCAAGGAAAAGGCAGTCCCAAGAACGGTGCTATGAGTTTGAAAGTCTTGTTGTTTCGATGCTCTCCGTCCCATTGCTGTAATATCCCTTAATCCGTTTTTTTTCTTAAATTCCGCAGTTTTTTTCACTTTAAACCAGTTATACCCACAATAGATATACTGTGTTAAAATACTCTCCTGTTACTCTCCTATGTGCTGAAAGCTATTGCTTAAAAACTAGTGCCTCAAGATGACCATTGATCAGGCAGGTGCTTGTCTTGGTATTTGCTGTAGGTGATCATGTCCAAATGGTAATGTCCGGCAGCCTTTGTGACAGTGCTTGAACGCACAAACATTTAATGTGTGTACAATAGAAGTAGAGTCTTTTAATAGTTTTAAGTTTAAATTAGGAAATGTGTCGTTACCATCAGCAACAAATATTATTAGATTTATTTTAGCGCTTCCCTTTAGCTTCCCTTAATCACTTTGCATGTTGATGTATTTAAAACACTGATGGACTACTAGTTGCATGCTCTAACATTTTGGCTCTTGCTAATTTTTTTCTTTTATAGTTTTTTTTTATTGTACTTGTTTAGAATGTATTAAGTGAAGGAAAAATGTATTTATATGACAGTAATGTGAAAAGGTTTTTCAAGCTAATAGCTGTTGAAAGTGTTTTATAAATTGCATTTGGTGAGTTTTGTACTATGGGGTTTGGATTGCATGTGGTGCTGTCCTTTAGTTGGAGTTATGTTCTCAAACCCAAGCCATATGGTGGTAGTAGTTTCAAAGCTTACATTTTTTTGTTTTAGAATAAAAGTGCTGCACATTTTAAGACATCATGTTTAGGTTATGGGGAAAGTATCGTCTCCGCTATTAGTTGTACAACTCACTATTCTTGATGGTGTTTTGAAAGTGATGGCTATTAATTCATCATACCATCTATCAGTATGTACTCAGTTTCCTTTTTACCTTTTATATAAACGGTGTCATGTGACAAACTGCATGTTAAACTCTTGACAAAGATAACATTTAATCTGTAGCAACTCCATGCTTTATTCCGTCTTCAAGATAACCAAAAAGGTCTCGTTAATTATGTAGGACACACACTTTTCTTCTTTCTTTCTTTTTTACCAATGAAAGACGTGCAATGACACTCGAGTGTATGTGTGTGTTCTCAAAGTAAGATGTTTTAACCTTTTTTGTTTATGTATGGTAAGATGTATTGTCTTTGCCAAAGTTTTACATGCTGTGCTAGAAGTTTGTGTCCGCTATACATTTTCATTGTGCATGTTTGTCATGCTATGATATGCATAATATATAGTATTTGAAGTGAGTCTGAGTATTTGGCTATTTGTGTGTGGTTTTTAGTGAATTATTGTATCTGCTTGATAAGAGTGTTAACCTTCATTAATGTCGTGCATTTAGCTTTAGAATCGTTACATCAAACATTTATGTTAATCATACATTTAAACTGCCGAGCTCAAGTGTAGCATTAAACCATCGCCATGAACATGTGGTGATGGTTTACCAGTGATGGCTTCAGAGCTACTTTTTGTTGTTGTGAATGTCATGTTTTTACTGCACTGTTTCACTATGAATATCCAGTATGTATACTACCTAAATGTTTAAGCATTGTGTGTGTTGCAGAAACACTAACTCAGTACTCAAGGCTTAAAAGATAAAAGGTTATTTAACCTAAATCTTGGAACTTGACACTCAAAGCAATAATTTGCCAGTTTAATCCAAAGCCTAAATAAGCTAATTAACTATATCTCAATTTAATCGCTTACTATGCGATTATATAATGTATAGTAGCCTCAGATATGGAGGTCCGTCCATGACGATAGTTTCCTGCAACATACATGCTCCATCCAATGAAACGTACCATGTCTTTAGTGCCTATATGCTAAGAGTGAACGTCTTTCTGTCATTTAATGTAAGGCTCCAGTTTGAAGACGTTGTATACTATAAATTCACGCTGTACATGGAACGTAATAAACATCTGCTGAAAGGATAAGTCTTCTCTGTTTGTTTTCAACACAAACTCCCTGTCCACATGTATATGTTTCCAATTTTAATTTTGAGTAGCTTAATTACACAACATTTGAGTCAAAAGGAAACATCAACTTAACGTTCGCCATGCCTACTGTTAAGGACGACTTTTGAGATATAACATGTATGGGCCACTGATTGTGAGTTGTGGAAATGAAAGCGAGTTGGTCTGTATTGCTGGGCAGCATTTGTCCTGGAGCTGTTGTTTTGAAGAAGCCATCAGCTGCTGCATGTGGTCCGACAGCTGCAGTAGCATTTCAGTGCTTATAAAGTGGTCGCATTGAATGGATAACAGAGATGTGGGGTACACAGTTTCTCCACTCATTTGATTGCAGACTTTACCAGTTTTGTTATTCTGATCTTAGAATTGAATTGGTACATTGATGATAAATCTAATTTCCTGATTACTTTACACAAGAAATCACAAAAGGGGAATTTTCTGTAAAGCACTATTTTAATTGTCTTTGTGGGGTCCTTATTTGGAAAAATACACAAGTGTATAACTAGGCTTTTTATTTAGCATCAAAGCAGTTTTGTTGTAATTTGGTAGTAGACCGTTGCTCTTGTGTTGCAGATACCTTGCAGGCAGCTCTGCAGCCCCCCCCTTCGGCAGCCAGCCTCCTTTGCTCTCTCCGGAGCTGGTGGACTCCTTCGTCCCAACCCTGCCGCCCAACTTCTCCAAGCTCCTCAACCGCCAACAGAGTCCTCGCGAGCGCAAGGCGTCCCCCTCCTCTCTGCCGGGGCGCCTCAGCAGAGCCCTCCGCCTCGGCACCACCCCTCCCCTCACCAGGACAGGTAACATTAATATTATTCCATACACTTTTAGAAGATGGATTCAAAACGAAATGCTTGATGCTGGCACATCTTTCTTATTATTAGCATAATCTCTAGTTGGGACTTGTGTGTGATTTTGGTTATTTGTACGTCATTCATTTGTGGTCTCAAAACAAACAAAAAATCAGTGATGGGCACTTCAGGAGTACTCGGTTCACTTCTGCCTAAAGTTCTTGTTGCGTGGCTCCCCATATGTGCTCAGACATGTTTGATCTTGAGCTGCTTCTTGCAATGTGCTGCTTTGCATGCAGACAAGATCTAGATTGATACGATTCAGTAGCTTTACTTTCAGTTTCTGCTGCTTGGCATACAATTGGGTCACGCTACTGTTTCCAAACATAACTAAGTGGCCAACCTGCAAGCATATACATATATACATGCAATGAGTTAATTTAGGCTGATATTAAAGACTGGTCAATTTATCTGCCGTCAATTTAGATCCATTTTAAGATTTAAGAATGTGCATTTGACATTGTTCATGGGAGTACCATGATGCTACACCTACTGAAGTTCAAGCTTTCAATGCACAGCTGAAATGTTAATTCAATAAATGCTTGACATGACCTAGTCTTCAGCACCTTGGATAATTGATTGAATTGAAAACTGTCGTGCAGCGCCTCAGTTTTGACTATTTGCTGCTTTATCTTAAGTAAAAATACAACATTAGCTTCTCTTGGTTTAAATTGTGTTTCTTCTGCTTTAAGGAAAGCCCTGGTTACTGGTTGTGATGAAAAGTATGATTGTATATGTTTTTTTTATTTTCAGATTCTGGTTACCTGTTCAGTGGAAGCAGACCAGCCTCACATTACAAAGACTCCCCACCCTCAGGTACTAAACCTCCTGTGCTGCAGTCCAATAGTCAAAATAATGACGTCTCTTGTCGTCATGTGGTCAAGCAAAGATTTGAAGGAGACATAAGGAATTAGTTGTGCTAAGAAATTCAGACTACCTACACCATGCAATGGTTTTGTTATTGATGGCCAAATGGTGTGTATCTTCAAATGTTGTATCATGAAAAGTTATTTTGGGATGCCATCATCTCCTTTCCTTTGGTAAAGTATGGTCTATTATACCCTATGCTAAAGGAGATAATAAAGTAAGTGTTTAAGCACCTTTCCTTAGCTTTCGGAGAATTTAAACAGCTCCTTACATTAGATACTTCTAGGTAATTTCACTCGGGTATAGACCTCCACAAGAAAAAAAAAATGTTCGACCACATCCTAGGCCTTTTGTGATTTCTCCTCAACCCTGCATTTTACCCAATTCCTTACCCTTTCAGAACACTAAATTGACATTTGTCGCTGTCTTTTTTTGGCACAGACTACTTCTCACTGATATCCGGGAGCCGTCCATCCTCCCCGGGCCCCTCTCCAGCTCCCTCAGTCGCCGGGTCAGTTACGTCCAGTTCAGGTTCTGCCAGACTCCGGCGCCCCCTCATCAGCCCCGCCCGCCTCAACATCAGCGGCCGAAAACTCCGGCTTTTCTCAGGGGAGCAAGAAGCCACGCTCATGTCCCCCTCTGTGTCTTCTTCACATTTCCATTTCAATTCGGCCTCTTCCATTTACAGTGGCTGTTTATCCCCTGACGTATCTCCCTTTCAAAGCCAAAATGGTAAGTACAGCTTGAGTTAAAAGGGAAATGTTCCTTGTATTAGCGATTTATCTCAATGCTGTGCTGTCTACCATACTGTCATTCATGATATAACCACCAGATGGCAAACAATATCAAAACCGACATACAGTTTAGTCTCTTTGCTGAGTGAATATATTTAAAGTGTATTCATATATTTGCGGTTTTATCTATTGCTTTGCAGATCTGAGTTCTCTGTTTAGGGACGGCAGTGTGATTGAAGAGGAAGAGAAGCAGGGCAGTTCCTCTGATTCCTCTGCATGCATTGTTGGTACGACCACACAGGGACCTGAGAACAGCACTCCTCCCAAAGGTCAGCAGTCTGATTTAAACATGGCAGGCCGTAAACCATCATTTCATTCTGGTTTCATGGCTATTGTCTAACTGGATGTCCGACTAAATTAATTACACTAACATACTGATGTCAGTACTTCATTTTTTTCTTTCTAATAATAAATCCTTTCTTGTTGCATGATGGAGTACTGAATGAAGATTGACGAGGAAAGATTTATTTCAATAATTTAAGTATAAGGCTTCAGCATAATGTGAATGAGTTAACGGGTCTGAATACTTCCTGAATGCATTGTATTTACTTCTAATCAAATAATTGATACATGTCTCATGTTCTGCTACATTTTGATCCTTTTATTTTATACAAGAGCCAAACAATATTTTTGAAAACGACAATAAAACACATGTGCCAATGACCAACTGTAGCCACCAGGTGGTGCCCAAACTTCAGTTTCTCTAAGTTAACCGTCCAAATATATAATTGTAACAAAACTGCTCTCATTTAATGGTCCTACCCACATATAATTCACTTTAAACTGCCTCAAAACTGTTGACACTAAAGCAAAAAGTATTAGCTGACAATAAACCTGTATAAAAGACACATCATAATGATGATGATTCTAATGAAATGAATTAACTTTCACCGTGACTTCTCCAGGTTTCATTAGGCGTCTGATCTGGCCTGGGCTCCTGATGGTGAGCCTGACCTCCAACCTGGTGTTCGCCTCAGTCTACATCTACCTCAACTGGAGAGGAGCTGCTGATGGCTCTGTGCTCTCGTGAGTCGCCCTCTGGCTTCTGACAGTCCTGGTGTGTCTGTGGACCAGGAGGTAGGTCAGTGATGCCAGAAAACATTAGATCTCTGGCAGCTACCTATTGTCTGCTGATGATTAAGGAAAATGACAGATGTCAGCTGACAGATTGTCACCAGCGTAACTCCCATTCAGTTACGAGAAAACTGTGGCGAAATCAGATATTATGCCTTTTAATTTATGACTAATGACTGCTTATAATTCTTATTATTTTTGATCTGGGCTTGTTTTTTGGTTTGTCAATGCTCCTCTTACATGAATGCAGGTGCATGTGTTATTGATTTAAAAGGCTCAATTCTTGCACTGATACTGTGCATTGAGTTAAACATGTACTGTTGAGTTGATGCTGCTTAAACACAGAGGGTCATGTCTTACCTACTTATTGTGAACTGTAATGACTGCATTACCTCTCCCAACTCAATTACATTTCTGGTCCAGTACAATAGCCACATATGAAACATTAAGCAGCATGTAACGTTTGTTTGGTGTAAAATTACAGTTTTAGATTTAGAACATTTGAACACATTTTCACTTTGTATGTCAGTACTTCACAGCACTGGTGTTAGTTTCTTTATATGCATATTCAGCTAGAAAAGAGGGGTGACCTTATCTTTTTGTTTTACAGTCAACATTTTTACAAATAATGTTGATTTGATATCTCATACATAAAGTGATGCATGTCACGATCATTCACTAAAATGGTTACCTTTCACCGAACAATTTTTTATTTTATTTTTTTAAAGATTCTCAGTTCAGAGGGTAGTTTGTAAGGGGCAAAACTCCTCTGGCCAAGTGCAATGTCTTTATATTAAAAATCTCATCTATAAAAAATGGATCACATTTACATGATGTTTGCATACGAGTTTACTCCTGAGCTATGAACTAATGTATGCAGAATTTCTATTATTGCGTCGATAATATACACAAACTTACCTACATAATAATTTGGAATGCATTTGCACTTGTTTTCCGCATTTCGTGGATTGATGGTTGTATTTTGATTTTTTGATTTTATTTTGTGTGTGACTTGAAATTCTTCTCTTAAAGCTGAAGAGCGCAGATGTGTGTGTTTATGTTGAACTTGAGCTACACAAAGTTGTACATTTTGGACATGTAAAGATTTGTATCTTGTTTATTTCCTTCTTAAAGTAATTGTATTGTTGAATACATGCACTTAATTTGAGAGGAATCCTTTTTTTGGTGAGTTTTGTGGATTTTCTTAGACACTTTGAGGTCATTTGAGGTCATTAAAAGTGTTCTGAATTTATCTTGAACCAAAGTAAAAATGTATGTAACAAATGTAAAATTAAGTTTCTGAGAAAACTTAAACGTGCTACTGAAAGACCTCTAAATTACTCGGAAACTTATCATTAGACAACTTTTATACTGAATAATTGTTGTTGAAAGGTATTGTAACCTGTTCACATGCTGTATGGAGACTAGTGCATTTGTACTGAATGTGTAACCCGGCGTACGTATTCCTCTCTAAAGGAGGCTCATTCATTGGAAGATCATGTTCATGCTGAAATGTAAATATTTTGTCAACAAGTTTGAACTTTACTGAATGAGGATTGTTTTCAGTAAAATATAAAATTTATTTATTTTGGAGTTTTTATTTAAAAAGTAATGAAAGTACTTTTTTCTTCTGGACTTCACATTACTATTAAGTCAATACCAAGGTTTTCCATTTTGAAGAAATATACACCTGTGCTCTTACTCATGCATCAAATGGTTGTTATTCCACTGTGTTCATCAGAGCAAATGTTTTTTCTGTGTGAATGTAAGGAACAAAATTGGCGTGTTTCATCTTAACCCATACTTTTTAAAAATAAAGTATCTGCTCTTTATCCAGGTATATAAATCTGTTTTCTATACAATAAGCAAAAATTAAATCTGTCAACTTAATCTGCAAAAACTAGCATCTTTTTTGTTAACATTTATGTGTCTTTGTTGAACAATCCACTATGACACTTTTATACTGAGAGTTGGCATTGAGTTTACATTGATAGGAGACAAACATCTTAAATGTTGCCTTAGCAATGATGGACTGAGTATGACAGCTGATAAGGAAGGGACTATGTGTATTCCTAAAACAGGCTTTTGTAGATATAGCACAGGGGTGCACTAACATATTCTTACATATTTGTGCCAACAAATGTCCTCCACATCTCTAAGCTTTCCAAACACATCACAATCAAATGTATAAATGTTACGCTGGGAAATGTTTGTATTCGGCGGGTATGAAATAAGAATACAAGTGTACGTTTTTGCTGAACAATCCTATTTGTGCAAGTTGTCACATGATGGTTAACAAAATGGCAATCTATATATATAGTATATTTTCAATCTGATCACATCAACTGGGTGGAAAACTAAAACATTTAAGCTTTCTGGTAAACATTTTTTACAAAGATCTGAAGGAAACTAATATTTTTGCTGACTACATGAGCCATATGATCGTCCTATCAATGAACTAAAATCATTCAAACTTTTGATAATGGCATCCGGCCATTAACTGTTACTTTAGCTTGATCCCCTTTACATCCTCTTGTTCATTTAAAGCCTTATTGTGACGCTTCCAAAATGAAAAAGGTATATTCCTTGTGTGACTGTTCTTAAATACTTTGTCCCTCTCAAGGGGAGACATCTTTAACTCAACCTTGGATGAAGGATTTCTAATTTGGGATTGTAATATTTGGCGATTTCAATATAAATTGACCTGACTCACCCCCCCTCCCCTCCCCCAGCACAGCACTCCGGGTAAACCCAAAGACAGTAAACACATCTATTACATAGTCAGCCTATAAAAAAAAAAAACCTTTTGCACAGAAAAAGGAAGCGATTCTGGTGATTCCTGTGTTACTGTGTTAAAATAGAACTGCTATTTTCCAGTTAAACTGGGTCATAATTATTTACATTAGTTACACCCTCAGTTTTAATTTAATTTCCAGCATGACTGTCTGAACTCTGTGACCCATACAGCGTTGTCGTACCAGAGTTCCTATAAAAGCAGGAAGATTTGAGCCTTTTGTCAGAAACATGACAAAAGGCTCAACTACTGGCAGGGCTTAGAGTTTAAAATAGTTCACTGACTGAAGGGTGGGAAGCAGGTAGATACTTTCAGTCTGTTAAACCCAAAAGTTTCTCTTCTCTACAATCATTTCCTGTTTTCACCAGCGCTACAAGATGTGAAGGATTAACACCTGCAGACCAATCTGACATATTAACCATGTTTATATTTACCATGATGTGTCTTACCCAGTCACAGTAAGGCAAACATATCAAGTCAAATAAGTATTTGTGTAACGACTGACTGAGTAAATTGTTGTAATGTCATGCTGTTGATGTTGGCCCCTGCATTTCCCCTTTTCATGGTAGTACTACTGTGGTTTATGTTCCACTTCCATATAGGCGGTGCCATTGCTCACAGTGCTTCAAAACTGACTTAGTCTTTTACAGTTTTCGATGGAAATATGAAAAGGGGGGACGATTTCCCAATGTAGTATCAGTTTGATTGCAGACATAACATTTCTTAAATAATGAAAGATAAATGAACGTGAAAAACAATGTTCATTGGGGATTTTTGGGGACTTTTCTGGATATTTTTATTTTTTTTATTTCTGCTGGCTTGACAACTCTCAGTCGAAGTATAATGTATATTCTTTCTATTCTGAAATGTTCTATCTCTTTTTAATGATGTGTTGGCTATTCTTAAAAGCACATTGACAAGAGGTTGCACAATTTTAACCTCAATTGTTTTAATATAAAAATGTCAGAGGGCTGGACTTTGAAGTGACACTACAGTACCTGGAAATACTTAACCTCAGTCTGATTTACAAGAAATTTGAGTACGAGATACCTTCCGTATACTTTGAAGCTAGCAATTAGGTCATTGACAAATTAAAGAAGCTTTCCTAATTTGTTGACAATAAACTTGATGTTTGACTTGACCTTATTTCTTTCATTCTGTTTATTTAATACGTTCCAAGCCCCTTTCTTAATACCCAAAGACAGATGTGACTAATTTAATTGGTTTTATCTGACCAACAGTTCAAATCCAGAGGAGGAATTAAACAAAGTACAAAGTGCAGTACAAATACTGCTCTTAAACTTTTAATCAAGTAAAAGGACTTGAGTATTTATATTTGATGCCACTGTGCATTACTCAAAACATTTTAGCAATACATATTCACTTTTTATTCCTTTTGATTTATTTGATAGCTATTTGATACTTGTACACACATATATATATATTAGATAAACATCTGATGAGCTTATAAAACGAGTTGCTTTTTGTTTGTGATTCATCTACAAAATAGATTCAAAATAATAAAATACAGCAGTAAATTGCAACTAACACATCAATGTATTATATAGCAAACCTATATTTTGGCATTTAATCCTTTTTGTAATGCTTAAAGTACATTTTGCCACTAATACTTTTATACTTTTACTATAGGGACTATAAGTGCGACAAGATTGTATATATTTACATTGTGGTACTTTTTGGTTCTAAAACCCAAACATTTAATCAAACTATCATAAAAATATCAATGACTGAGTCGTTTACTTGCTTTGTTGACTTTTGAAGAAAATTAAAGAAATAAAATATATATTGTATAGCATGTTGCTGCAGCTCATTCTCACATTATGAATAACTGTAACTTGGACATATTTTACCTTTTTGTTCATGACATGGGGGGGGGCGGGAGTTAAAGAGAGAACACGTACTTTCACTTGGCGCCTGAAGTGCTGGCGGACGGTCCCTAGCCGCAGCGAGCCGCAGCGGGCGGTGCTGCTACATCACTGCATGAATGACAGCGCACTGGACCGACGCAGGGAAACACTTCGCCGCTTCTCAGGAGCCGTGTCGGTCCGTTTGAGCGGCACCTCACCTCACTTCAACTTCACCGATACATCCTGAGAGAGACATGTCACCGTGAAGAGACAGCGTCCATCTTCGCTGGATTTAAAGCATGAAGAGATGACCGGCGTGCAGAGCTGACAGGCAAGTGTCTGCTAACAGGTTGGCAAGCCTCGCTGTCATACATAAGTTTCACTCTGACAGCGAAATCTCACTGTTGTTTTGTGCATCATCTGTTAGATTTCCTCGTTGCTGATTTCAAATATGTTTCTCATTTATAATGTGATAAAATGCATAGTGTAGGTAAGTTCGTTCAAATACATCTTTACGTATGCGTGAATCAGCCAGTAAGATAGTAACAATGCAGCGTGTTCACGGGGCAAGTTTCCTCTTACCAAAATCAATAGTGTAGAATTACTTTATGGAAACCTATAGAAAATTACAATTAGTAATACAATAGTTTCAGTCTGAACAGTCAGCTGAATACATTTGCAGGAATCAGGACGTCACATTTATTTTATTTTTTTGTTGTGTTGCTTTTTTACAGACACAACACAAAAAAACATATAGTATGCTTACATAACTGCACCTGTTGTATATCAGATATAATCATTCCTGTCCTCCTTGGACACCAAAAGGACATACAATTGCCTTGATGTTATCATTCTTCGAATCGTATTGTACAAACATGACCAACACATTAGAGACACGGTCCTTCCCCCCACATCAACAAGATGACCATACAATACCTGAACTGTTAAGTTAATAGGACATCCGTTTTTATGAATCAGTGGATTAAAGTGTCTCTGTAGTGAGTCTTCACCTTATTTGACCTTATTCGCCTGAGCACACTTTTATTCTAGAACATCCAGTCTGTTAGGGTTAAGCTTTTTAAATGGGTTACGTTAACTGAAGGCATTAAACTGTGGATTATCAATTGAAAGCAGCACTCTAAAACACACACATTTCGAAACAATAATGCTTTAATTTAACATTTAAAATATTGTTTTACTTGTGTATATATGCTTAAAACTGCATTGTGGAGATGTAGGAAGGGATCAGGTGAAAATGTTTAATACTACTGTTTACTGTGTGATTTATTTAGTAACTCATGTCATAACACTGCATGTGCTTTGTGATTCCATTAAATTGCCCTGTAAAGAGAAATCCTCCACGGTTTAATGAGCACACACTGTGCAGTAACATTGATGTTAATAGTGGACATATTAACCTTGGCTGTGTTTCCTCTGTTTGGACGGCTGGCTTTTGTTCCGGTGAGCAGCAGAGGAGCTGACGGTAAATGAGAGGCCGTCACCATGCCCCCAGGGAAGTATGGGATGCAGGAGGAATGGGAGAAGGAGGGGGACCAGGAGATTGTGATGGACTTCCTGCTGCCGACTGGGATCTTTCTCAAATTCCCTGTGTCTCCAAACGACACCATCAAAACCCTCAAAAAGGTATGTCCCCTCTCATCCACATGTAATTATCAATAGCTACTTTTAGAAATCATAAAAACCTTCAGAGACTATGTTAATAATGTCATCATAATATCTTATCTGTTAGAGGATAGCACTATGTTTCTCATAGATTGCAATTGATTGTGTGCAGCACTGCGGCTCTGGTGACCACAGTTGTGAAATGCTGTTGTTATTTACAGTATTTACTCAATATGCTTTTAGGCAAATTGGTTGACTTAATATTCCCTTCAGACATTAAACTAATTAAAACATGATAACATTCGAACAATGCTTGCTGGTGCTTTTCATTCATCTTGAAGTTTGATGCAACTATTAGAGGGAGCTACAGCTTTCCTCCTCGGTGTGCTAAATGTGCCCGTTTCTATGCCAACAGTTCTGCCACTTCAGGCTTTTTGATTAAGCTGTGTGAAGTAATGGTAATCTTGGAGGCTGTTAAGATGATTAAAGATTAAATGTCTTACCAACTGGGGGAATTCACATGGAATTTTAGAAAATGTTCAAAAACACCCAGGATCAATATCTTTGCAAAATCATAGTTCAAATGGCCTTTGTTACTCTTTATCAGTGTTTTTATTGACAGTTTAAAAAAAAGTAATGATACCAGTCAATTTGTTCTAAATAACTGTTTCTATACGATTTGTTTTACAAGACCCCTCAAGCACACACTTCACAGCGAACAAGCTGTACACTTCAGCTCATCAACGCTCTGCTCTCAACCTCATGTGTTGCTGCTGTCTCTTGTTTCAGATGGTTTGGAAAAATGCCAGAAGCGAGGCCCTCTTCAGTGCTCTGGGTGATCCCGACGCATACGTCTTCACCTGCATCAACCAGACGGCAGAGAGAGAGGAACTGGAGGAAGAATGGAGACGCATAAGCGACATACGGCCCTTCATGTGTGTTCTGAGGCTGGTGGCGAGGGAGGGCGACCGGGTGGAAAAACTCACCAACACACAGATCAGCTGGTTGATCGGCAAAGGTCAGCAGGTCCTTCTCTGATAGAGTTCTGCAGCTTTATAGAGATATTAGTGGTTCTCTCATTATCAAAAAGAAGACAAGAGTTTTCTAGCCTGGTTCCAGTCCTCTGAATCACTGTCAGGGATGCAAACAGATTAGTATTGATCAGTTCCTTTAATAAGATAATGAAGTGAAACTAAATGGCTATTTCAGACTGAACTGCGGTTTTACTTCTTTATGCAGTCCGACTGTCACAAACAGGGGTGAAAGCTCTCTGTTTTGGGTAACGAGGAAGATTTTGTAGTGTTTGTGTTGGTTTTACACATTGATTTAAGAAATATGTAGTTCTAAGAATATCTTAAGACTATTAACCGGTACCAGCTGTGATCTCATCCACTTTAATTTTTCTGCCACCATTTTTAAGGCTCCAGCAGAGGAAGGTGACGATCCCAATTTTTATCCCTGCACATAAAACTGTGATTGGCTCGGTTGTTTTTCCATTCAGGGAAACAGCCATAGCAACAGCAGCACTTTTAAAATGAATGAAATGAAGATGTGACAGTGATTCAGAGGTCTGGGACTAGACTGAGTTAAAGCTGCTCTGGAGGCAGAAATGATCCCATTGGCTGAGTGACAACTGAATAACTGCATTTATTTGGAGCAGTTAGAAGAGTTAGAAAACTGTATTGGTATTTGTGTCTCTTTAATTCCTAATGGTAATGTTCTTGGAGGGTTGACATATTACTCACTAATGTTTCTTACTTTAAAATAAAACTCATCTAGACTAAGTAATGCTTATTCATTTTTTCAGTTGCAGGAAGATTTCACTATATTCTCTGTTGCCTTGTTCACTTAGCTTCTGTTCAGTCAGTCCGGAAAAATAGTTTAGAGTATAAACCACCACATTGCAGAAGTTAACCTTTTATAAATAAATCTTTCAACCCGTGCAAAGCGTTCCTCTCAATGAGTTTTTTTTCTGACACTGTCATTATGATTTTTTCAGGTCTCCATGAGTTTGAAGCCCAGAAGAACCACGAGGTGAATGAGTTTCGGACGAAGATGCGTGCATTTTGTGAAGAGAAGGCTCAGGAGCGCCAGATGTTGCCATGGCAGCAGTGGATGGAGTACAGCTTCCCATGTGACCTGGAGCCGTGCGTCTCCCCTCCAGAGTATGGGAGCGTAAAGTCAAAAAACACCAAGAAGATGTTCATCAATGTCATGTTTGAGGCTTCAGATGTGAGTAGATCTGCTGTTCTGTGAGTCATATTGGTTCGGATTTTAAGTAAATGTGAGCTCATTTGGAAAGCCCGCTCTCACGCCACAAACACCAACATGTAGGCTACATTAAGTTCGATTTTCTGTAATGCTGGCACCTTTATTTCTTATAAATGTATCTGTTACAGGAAAGCTTCATGCTGCAGCAGGACCCCCAGGACCCCCCGGTGGCTCTGATAAGGAGTGCCCTGAAGAAGAAGGCCACGGTCTTTCGCTCCGTGCGACAAGAGCCGGAGGACTTCACCTTGCAGGTCAACGGGAGGTGGGAGTTCATCTACGGGAAACATCCATTGTGCCAGTTCAAAGTGAGTAACTGCAGCAACAGCGTGTGGAAATAAAGCTCTGTTTTTTAGCTTTGTTTTCTGGTTATCAGTCAGAC